ATGTTTACATTATAACTTCAAATGGTGATTTCCCAACTTTACATCACTGTCTGTAATATGAACTCCACAAAGCTTCTTGGATTTCATTCTCTTTGGTCTTTGCATTAACATAGAACAACATAGAATTAGATGGTTGGGAAACAAGAGAGACTATTGTTACCCAGTTGAAAAAGATGGTTTCACAAAATTTATAGGATGTTTGAGATATAGTCTTTGGTATCTGTGAGAATGTCTACATATATGATTTTTAATTTTATTTTTAAAGTTCTTGATGTAAATAGTAAAATGAATTTACAAAAAAAGTGTTAGAATGACAATTATTCTGGAAAAAAAATTAAAATTTTTATCTTTATTTGTTGAGAGTATTACAGATGTCCTCTCCTTTTTTCTCTCCAGTGCTTTCCTCCACCCGGATCCCTCCCCACCCCAGGTCTTCACTACCCTATTGCCTGTGTCCATGCGTAATGCATATATGCATAGAAGTTCTTTGGTTCATTTCTTCCTGCACCCTGCTCCTTCCTTCCTCTCTGTCAGTCTGTTACATGTTTCCATGCTTCTGGTTCTATTTTGTTCATCAGTTTATATTGTTCATTCGATTCCTTGTTTGTTTATTTTTATTTGTAGACTAATTATTGATAGATATGTATTTATTGACATTTTTGTTCATATTTTTTATTTACTTATTTTTAAATTATTTTTATTGATTTTTTACAGAAAGGAAGGGAGAGGGATAGAGAGTTAGAAACATTGATGAGAGAGAAACATCAACCAGCTGCTCCTGCACACCCCCCACTGGGGATGTGCATGCAACCAAGGCACATGCCCTGACTGGAATCGAACCTGGGCCCCTTCAGGCCGGAGGCTGACACTCTATCCACTGAGCCAAACCAGTCAGGGCCATATTTTTTATTTTTATTCTTCTTAAAGAAGAACCTTCAACACTTCTCTCTGTCTTTAACCTTTGGCATTTTAATTGTGATGTGTCTTAGCGTGGGCCTCTTTGGGTTTATCTTGTTTAGGACTCTGTGTTTCCTGGACTTGTAAGTCTCTTTCTTTCACCAGGTAGGAGAAGTTTTCTGACATTATTTTTTTCAAATAGGTTTTTAATTTCTTGCTCCCTCTCTTACACCTGAAATGGTCTCAGAGGCTCCCTACACTATTTTTATATTTTTGGATTCTTTTTTCTTTTCGCTCTTCTGATTGGGTGTTTCTTGCTTCCTCATACTCCAAAGTACTGATTTGATCCTCTACTCCATTCTTTTTTCTTTTCGAATTATTCTTCATTTCAGTTAGTGTATCCTTCATTTCTGACTGGTCATTTTTCATGTCTTTGATGCTCTCACTAAGTTCCTTGAAATTCTCACTAAGTTCCTTGACATTCTCACTAAGTTCCTTAAGCATCCTTATAACCATTGTTTTGAACTCTGTATCTAGCAGTTTGCTTGCTTCCATTTCATTTAGTGCTTTTTCTGGATATTTCTTCTGAACTTTCATTTGTGACATGTTTCTTTGTCTCCACATTTTGGCTACTTCCCTGTGGTTGTTTCTATGTATTAACAAGCTGATATGTCTCCTGGACTTGGTAGAGTGGCATTGTGTAGTAGGTGTCTTGTAGGGCCCAATGGCTCAGCCTCCCCAGTCACCATAGCTGGGTACTCTAGGTGTGCCTCTGTGTGGGCTGTGTGCACTGCTCTGTTGTAGTTGAACCTTTATTGCTGTTGGCATAACTGGGAGAAATTGACCCCAGGCCAATTGGTTGTGAGGATCACCTGTGACTACAGTGGAAGAGCTGTTATGCAGAAGATACCCCTATGGGGCAGGATTTGTTTCAGTGGGACTTTGGTGCTCACCAAGTTCACCCTTGAATGTGTCACTCATGGATGTGTAGAGTTGTAATCTGTCATAGTCTGAAGATGTCCACTGGGTGCACTGGCTCTGGGGCCTCCTGGGAGGTGCGAAGTCAGCCTGGGGCCATCTGGCACAAGCTACAGAGAAATCTGCAGATGGATGCTATTTGTGTTGGGCTTAGCAGTGCCCAGGTGAGGCCAAGCTGTAAATCTTAGTAAACTGCTACTAGTGCCAGACCCGGGGCCACTTATTGAGAGGTATGGAGCATGCTGAGTCCAGCTGCTAGTTGTTTGAAAGATTTTAGGAAAGTCTGAAGCCTGAGGCAGGACAGGCCATTCATATGGAAAAGCCACTGCAAACAGCTTGTGTCTGCTACAAATTGGGTGTGGGATCTCAGAGAATCACCAGGGCAGGGCAAACAGTGTGGGTCAGGTTGATGAAGACTCAGATATGGCACCTGCCAGTCAGCTCTGTGGGGATGGGAGGCGAGGGGAGGTCTCAGCAGAGGAACAGTGACCTCTGCCACCATTTTTATGTGGGAGAAAGATTACCCCACCCATTTTTGCCCTGATGCCAGACAATTTAGTTACTCTCTAGATGTCCCTGGATCCTTTCCAGTTGCTGCCCCAGCGCTGGAACTCAGAGGGAGTGAGTCCAAATAAGTCCATGTGTGGGCCCTTTAAGAGAAACTGCCTGGGTCTTTGGCTATCTCCTTGTCAATCAGCCACAATCCCTACTGGTTTTTACAACAATTAAAGGTGTCTTTACTTAATAAGCATATTATTACCATTCATACCTTGGAGTATTATAATCAGATCCAAGTGGTTAACTGAAATTGACTGATAAAGAGGAGAAAAAAATTGGTGGTGCCATGGTAAAAATGGAAGGGAGGTGGAAATGGGAGACTTTTCAGAATGCAGACATTTCTTTAGAAAGAGGATCCTTCCTTGTGAGGAGCTCCAAACCAGAAGCTGTCAGGACACAGGAGCTCTGGAAGGCTGTAAGGAAGCTGCCAGCAGGGGGCAGTAAGGAGAACATTGAAAGGCAGATTTCTGCTGCTTTTGTACTTGTTCTAATTCCTCTGTTAAAAAGCCCCCCTGCAGATAGTTAATGGAATTTGTAGTAACCAGGTAGTAATAGGTATAATAAAACTAGATTTTATTAAGTTAAAATTATGCTTTTAATTTTTCATTTTGGAAACTATAAACCCTCATAGTATTATTTTTAATATCCTCTAGAAGTGGATTGAATAGAACTAATTAAATGTCCAAGTGACCATACTGGGTCTCATCGAAGAGTGTATCAAGATAATATTTATTTAAGAAAACTACTAAGTTACTTTGTGTAGCCCAGGAGGTCCAAAGAACACATTTTGCAAATCACAGGTATGTACCACATTTCCAACAAGAGGTCCCTCACATTTGCCCTCGTGTTTCTGGAACAACTTGTTATCGGAGAAAATAACAGAGATCTATTGGTTTCTTCGGTCTTGGGAAATAAGTAGCCTCTTTGCTTTTTCCCTTTCTCAATTTAATCATCCAAACCATAATAAACCCTTCACCACCATAAAGCCTAATCTTGAGTACAAGCAGTATAGTGGTTATATTTAATTCAATCTATGCTTGGCTCTTTTAATACAATATGTCTTTGATAAGTCAATCTCTAGTTAACTTAGAGTATGGTTCATCATTATCTAATCTTGTCCCAGTATTTACCCTACTTAATATAGTTAACAGACATCGTCATATTCTGAAGGTAGAGAAGTTCTTGAGCTCTTTGCACTAAGTAAATTACTTCTTTTATAACTACTTCCTATTCTTGTCTTTAAAAAAACTTTTCATTTTTATAGCCTTGAACTGCTTTCCCCCAAAGCCAATTAACAGGTAAATAATGATTCGTAAAGCAAAAAGTACAACTTCATTAGCATAGCGCTGGAATAAGGCAATTCTCTGGTCACAGCAAATTGAATCCATCTCTTCTTGCTGAACACAAAATATACACCAAATTAATAATTTATTTTGATGATAGTGACTTAATTTATCCATATTATCCAGTGCTAATAACAAAGCATACATTTGCTCTTTCCCGGGATTACATTTGTCTGATTGGCATTCTTCTGCTCACAGCAGATGTGCAAACAGCTCGGGAATAGCTTTTGCGCTTAACTTCTTTTCCCAGGAAGGAAAACAAAATAGCATTGATTTTTGCCTCGTCCTAACTGGGACCATTAGGTATATAAGACTAAAAGTATTTTGATTTAATAAAGAGGTGGGGAGGTAGGGGAAGAAATGGGAAATGGGGCTACTCTTACCTGGTCACTACAGTACGTCACCTCCTTAAAGTTAATAAAGAAAATGTCATTGCATATCATCCCTTTGGATCCTGCCCTGGTGTCTAGTAAGACCCCCTCCCTATAGGGAACTGAGGGTCTTCCATGTGAGATAAGCTCAGAGCCTGGATCCCATGCAGAGCTTAGGCTCCTGCTGGAACACCCCTGGTCCAAGCAACTTGATAAGGAGACTGCCTCTCCTGGGCTTCTATTCCCAGAAAGTGCTGGTGGGAATCAGCTGGCTCCCCTCTCCATTTCCCCTGTGGCACGTTTCTCAGCCTCATGCTGAAGGAGAGGCTGCTAATTATCTTGCTTCCTCTACTGATTTTTATGAAGAATACTGAGCCAGCTCCTTTGGTTCAATACAATTTGTCATCACTCTCTGTAATGAAACACTAACACGGTTGGATTGTTTTAGTCACTGGGATAAATAATCCAAGATGGAGCTGATGTTCTGAGATGTGTCCTCTCTGTGCTTATTTGAGGTGCAGACAGAGCAAGGGAGTTTCTTACCAGACCAGCCCTTAACTCCACTTCTCCAGGTGTCTGGTTTGTTTCCTCTCCCCACCAGGCATGTCAGTGTCCCCTAGTTTCCAAAACGAAGGACAGTAGCCATATCTTGTTGGGAAAACTTGAGCTTGCAGTTCCCTCTGCTGTTTTTAATTAAATATTTCTATTATGGGAATGCATTTACTTTTAAGAGGGGTAAGTGATGTTCAACCTATCAGAGAGCTACACTGCTCCTGGGGAAGGAGGGGGAAGTGAGATCAGATCATGACCCATTCCTATTCCTATCTCAATGTGCCTCTCCACTTTCTTGCAGATGGAAGTCCTTACACCTGGTGGGTTGGCAAAGCCAATGAGAAGCACTACTACTGGGGAGGCTCTGGGCCTGGGATTCAGAAATGCGCCTGTGGCATCGAGCGCAACTGCACAGACCCCAAATACTACTGTAACTGCGACGCGGACTACAAGCAGTGGTGAGTGTGGGCGCGGCGCGCAAGCTCACCCTGCCCTGTGCTTCTCAGTCACACTAATTAGAGAGAAAGAAAGTTTGAAAGGTGCTGGAATAATAAGGTAATAGGTTAAGAAAGTTTGGAACTCATCCAGTTGACAAATGTCAAGAGGGTTTTGAAAAACATAAAAGCAGAGAGATGTCAGCACTACAAGGGTGTGCATTTAGAAATAGACGTTCACATAACTGAAGTGGCCATACATTATCCAGAGAGGAAAATAATGAGCTGTGTAGCGGGGGGTGAACGTTACACAAGGTGCTTTGGAACAATGAAGCCCACATGCAGCAGGTGAGAGCATCCACTGTAGATGGTCGCCCACAGTTTGTGCATCCACCTCCTGCAATGTTTGCTTTCAGTAACTGGACAAGAAAAAAAAGAGGGGGTGTGGGAGGGAAGGGGAAATTGTTCTTTGCTCTTGTCTTCAGCAGTAGTGCTGGCTGCTCGACTTTTCTTTCATGCCTTGAACTGTGTGTAACTCTAATAGAAATCAGTTTGAGAAAGATCTAGTTTGGGTCTCTTTCATCCCTCTGTTGGCTTTTGTCCGGCTTCACAGTGAATGGCGAGGTTTGTGTCAGTTTTAAAGATAAAATAAGCTGTCATTCCGTGTGAAAAAGGCCGCGCAAGTTCAGGTGGAAGAACACAAACCTAAGCAAGGTTCCTGCCAGAGGCATACAGCCAGCAGGCACCTGCTTCTCACAGCTTCAGAGACAGGGAGAGGCCCTCTCTGTTCCTTTCCTGCCTCTGGTGGGCAGCACCGAGCACAGCCTTGCGTTTTCTCACGTGACAGAATGCCCTCGCCTCTGTTTTACACTATTTAGAAAGCAATTTACAAGTTTATTCAAACAGTTAACTGAAAACTAATTCTGATTATGAAGTTAATAGATTGTTTGGTAGGATGTCAACCTATCTTTCAAAAGCGACATTTTTTATTTTCTAGTAAATGAATTACTGAGGGTATATATTGCAGTGGCTTAGAATTTCTGTGTATGTATTTAAATAGCTATCACTATTCTTTAATTGTGGTGCATTGTAAAGAGAAAATCATGATATTCAATTTGTAATTGTGCTTAAAAGATGTATGTGCACATACTCATCTATACAAAGACTGGAAGTCGGGAAAGTGGAATCAGAAGGACACTTGAATGAAGTTAACTTTTTCATTCATATTGTCAGTCATTCATTCTGTCAATCATTAACTCAACAAATATCGATTGATATCTTCTGTGCTAGGGATTCATCTAGGGATGAGATAAAATCGTGAATGACAATAACGAGAACTGTACAGCAGCTCTGGAATGTGATGTGGAGAAGAAAGGAGAACCACAGTAGGGCTAAGCATGTAGGAGGCATACCATTAGAGCTTCGATTCTTCTTAGGGTGATAAGAGTTTGTATTTATCTTCAGTGAGTCCTATGGAGGAGGCTTGATGGGAGAGACAGGAGGGGAGAAGGAGGGTGTCGTAATAGTCCTTGAAAGGCATCAGAAGCAAGACCATGGAGAAGAAGAAATATATATGAGATATTTTGGAAATAGTATCTGCAGGACTTGATAGTTATGATGATTCAAGAAGAGAGACAGGAGACTGGATAGGCTCCTCATCAGGCACCTAGGAATGGAGTGGAAGCAAGGTCGCATATCAGACCAAGGAACAAAGCTTGGAGGAGGTGGATGATGAGAGCAGCTTTGAAAATATTAAATTGGAGGCACCAGTATCACGTCATGTCTAAACTCACAGGGACACCATTAGTGGGATTACCGATAAGAAGTGTAGATTTTAGAGAAATGTATTTGCATCTGAAAACATTTTCAAGAACACACCTGAATTGAGATCACAGGTGAGAAGCAGCCTCATGCACAGACACACACCCCTCCAGCAGGATTTGATTGGATCATAACTTTTCAGTTCCTCAGGGACTTGGACACTGCCAATGTCTTGTTTCCTTCTGGCTGAGTCACAGCTAACACATCCCCACCTCTTTGCTTTTATAAAATGTGTCTGATCTTACCAAATAATAGACAAACATGGTAATTCACCTTACCTTCTCTACACCTTCCATTGGCTAATCAGCACGATATGCAAATTAACCGCCAACAAAGAGGGTGGTTAATTTGCATACTAGGTTCCAAGCAGTAGAGTGAAGTCTGACGGCCCCGGGCCGGAGCAGCGAGGCCTCACACCCTGGAGCTAGGCAGAGCAGTGAGGCCACATGGCCCCAGGGTTGACGGAGCAGCGAGGCCACACGGCCCCAGATCAGTGGAGCAGCAAGGCCACATGTCCCTGGCACCAGTGAAGCAATGAGGCCTCACGGCCCCGAGATCGGTGGAGCAGTGAGTCATCATGGCCCCGGTGCCAGGTGGAGCAGTGAGGCTTCACGGCCCCGGGGTCGGCGGAGCAGCAAGGACTCACAGCCCTGGGGCCCGTGGAGCAGCGAGGCCACATGGCCCCGGCGCCAGGTGGAGCAGCGAGGCCTCAGGGCCCCGGGGCCTGCCAAGCAGTGAAGCCTGACGGCTCTGGGGTGGCTCCAACCGGACCTAGCTAGAGCGAAGGCCTGGGTCCCCGGTGCAGGAGGAAAACCGGTGCCAGCAGCCAAGGGAAGGCAAGGCCTATTGCACGAATCTCTTCATGCAACAGGCCTCTAGGGTTTCATAATATAGGCATTCTATTGTGAGCTAACTGAAAATGTAATGAATATGTTTCTAATAAATAGCTAATAAAATGATCTTCCCTGTCTGGCACAAGAAAGAAAGCTTTCAGTGATGCCTTATCAGTCTTTGAATTCACCAGCACCTGGCAAAGGGTCCACTCTGTGGATGCTTTCATTATGTTGCAATGAATAATTGGTTCTAGAGGTGTGTTGCAACACTGTCAGGAGCAGTGGAGAAAGAGCAAGACTTGGAGCTGAAAGACTTGATATCCACGTCAGATTTTTTATTGGGGGGGGGGGAGGCTTTTAACCATTCTGAAACTAAGATTTGTTGTCTGTGTAATAAAAATAAATCTTGGCTTGTCAGATTTTTGTGAGAATTACATAGAATATAGAATATGAAAACATTCTGTAAATTGTGCAGTATGAGATGCATAGCTGTTTGCAATTCTTAATTATGTAATTCTTATTGTGATTCTTAATGATTCCAAATTAATCTTAAGGAATGAAAACAGACTGTGAAAAGTAGGTCTCTTCCTTTTCTCCACCTGCTATGCAGCAGGTCTCGGGTCAAATTATACCGTGGTAGCATTGGAGAATAGGGTTTATTGGAGAACCTTACAAATCAGGGATCATCAAGGGAAGAGAAGGTACAGGACCCCAGTGCCATCAACCCTCAGAGGGAGATGCTGGTGCCAGGCTATTATGCTGAATACATCAAGGATGTATGTTCCAAGGAACCCTTTGCTTCTCCCACTTCCCATAGTTCAAGGAGAGTAGCTTTGTCAGTGGGGGAAATCTCTCTTAGGGCACCAGGCAGCTGGCATAGGGGTCAGCTATCTCCAGCATTGTCTAGGAATCCAGGAACAGGGAGGGAGCCAGGCCTCTTTAGAAAGTCAACTTTAGGTGTAACCTCCTAGACTAGAAGTGGGGTGCACTTCCCAGTTGGTCCATTGTCCAGGAACCCAGAGTGTGTGCCCCCATAATCACCACTATTCAAGTCTTTTTGTCTTACCACTGAGAAGGAAAGGAAAATCTAGTACAGAAAACCAGGGGAAATCCACATATGTGAAAACATATTTGTTGTTTTCTATGTATATAAAAGCCTAAGTGACTGAACAACCAAATGACTGAACAACCGGTCTCTATGACGCGCACTGACCACCAGGGGGCAGACGCTCAATGAAGGAGCTGCCCCTTGGTGGTCAGTGCGCTACCACAGCCAACCCCCTGCAGCCCCTCCCCCTGCCAGCCAACCTCCCTTGGCCCCGAAAGGCCCTGATCAATCGCCGGTGAGGCCAAGGGCCCCACCGTGCACAAATTCGTGCACCAGGCCTCTAGTGTAAACATAAAAATAAAGGTTCTCTGGAATCTCATGCTTTTAGACACTGCGTCAGCTGAGAAAGTTACCTCTTCCAATAATCTTACCTTAATCACACTGAATCATGTGATTCAAATGGACTGAGACCAAAATGGGTACAAACTTCCCCCATGTCATTCCCCATGTATGTGGCCTAAGGAAGGTCATTGAACTTCTGTAAGTTTTCATATCAACAAAATACAGACAGATAGTACTTCCCAATTCATGTAAAGATTTGGAAAAAATGCTGTCATAAGCGAATGTTTAAAATTACAGTAGGAAAAAAAATAAATAAATAAAATTACAGTAGGGTATCTATAATAATAAAAGCATAATATGCTAATTAGACTGGATGTCCTTCTGGACCTCCCTTCAGATGACCTTCTGGATGAAGCCGGGGCTGTGAGGGAAGCCCAGGTCCTGGGTGCCTGCTGGCAGCCAGAGGGAAGCCTGGGTCCCGGGTGCTGGTGGCCAGAGGGAAGGAAGGCCTACTCTTGCATGAATTTCATGCATCGGGCCTCTAGTATTATTTTTATTACTTAATGTTGAATGGAACTCTAGCTAAAATCATTAAAATTTTCTTAAATTACAGATGCATCAATTGGGCCCCAGGAAAATTGAAATTACTTTCCAAAAATTATTACTTTATTTTATTTATTTATTTATTTATTTATTTATTTATTTATTTATTTATCATTATTAAGGTATTACATGTGTCTTTTTTTAAAAATTAAATCTTTATTCAGATTATTACATTTGTTCCTCTTTTTTCCCCCCATAACTCCCCTCCACCCAGTTCCCACCCCACCCTTTGCCCTCACTCCCCAACCACT